GGAGATTTGAGCTATTCCATACTCTTCAATATACCATCCTATCGCTTTTACTGACTTGCAGCTTCCGGGTATTCTTACAGGTTCTCCATTTTCGTCGAGTACATTTTTGCCTTTTTCATCGGTTTTTACACGCCCGTTTTCGCGTACATCAAAGGCTACAGAATTTGCCCTTCGTACTGATGTGGTGTTGAGGTTGACATTGTATGCCACAAGGAAGTCCCGCGCGCCGATCACAGTTGCTCCGGATTTTTTGTTGAAAGTATTTGTTCCGTAATCAGGGTACCACTTTGGATCCTTGAGCTTAGCGGGGAGTCCTTCATATTCGTCTGCCCGTATAGTTGCCAGATTTTGCCTTTCGGTAGATGTGGCAGCGGATTCGTACATATACACAGGTATGCCGAGCTCATTTCCGACTCTTTTTCCCAGTTCGTGTGCGAATTTTGCGGTTTCTTCCATGCTGATACCGGATATTGGGATGAGCGGACATACATCTGTAGCGCCCATCCGCGGATGCTCACCATGATGGGAAGACATGTCTATAAGTTCTGACGCTTTTTTAATGGCCTGAAAAGCCGCTTCTGTCACAGCTGTCGGATGACCAATAAATGTGACAACGGTTCTGTTAGTGGCTTTACCGGGATCAACATCCAGAAGTTTTACACCATCGATTTTTTCAATTTCATCTGTGATCTGTCGTATGATGGTCATGTCTCTTCCTTCACTGAAATTTGGGACACATTCTATCAAAGTATTAAGATGATTCATAACAAATTCATTTGCTACGGCAAAAGTACACAATATGCAAGGAAGTAAAACGAATCGTATGAAAATCTCAATTTAACCTTAACATAACACAGGGGATAAAGTAAGATTTCAGCTTCAAATTGACTTATGAATTTCACTAAAATTTGATACAAATACTCAAATAATGCAATTTTGAACTTACTCTTAGACATTTGGGTTATATTTGTAATATCATTCAAAGTATAATGAATCTTAAACATTCTTTTTATCTGGCGTGTATATTATTGATGATGGCAACTGTGCCATTGCAAGCACAGAAAGTTACTGTTTCAAGAGAGATAGGAGTAAGAAATAATTACGCTTATGATATATTGCCAAACATAGGTGACAGGATTATTTTTTATCATGACAAGGGAACAGAACAACAATTTGAAATTTATGATAGTGACTTAAGGCATATTCAAACCATCATTCCTCAGTTTGAAAAGAGAAATATCACACCCGCAGGAGTGATAGCCATGGATTCAACATTTAATTTTTATTATTCCTACCGTGACGAAGATACTACATACCTCAATGTCAGGGTGTATAATAAAAATCTCGTGCTGGTGGATACGGCAACCCTTTCCAAACAAACAAAAGTAAGCAGTCTAAAAAATAATCCAAAATTCACCTTTTCTGAGGACAAGTCCAAAGTGCTGATTTTTTATCCGGAAGACAGAGACCTTCACCTTCGCCTGATTGATAATGTAAATAGAAGGATGATATATGAATTTAAGCTTACTATAAAAGATATCAACCTCAGAACAGATTTTGAAAAATTGGAAATTAATAACAGAG